TTTAGTAACTAGGACATTGGTATTGGTTTGATGAAGATAGCTACATCTTGAATTTAGTAAGATTACCATAGCTTCTAATCTAGTGGCTTTAGGTGGTCTAGTCCACAGGCAATAAGGTTTGTTTTGGGCAAGGACTGTTATCATCTTTGTTTCAAAGGTGAACTGTAAACTAAGTTCCTCCCAAAGTTAGTTCTGCCTTCACCCAGGAATGAACAAGGACAGCGTGGAGATTAGAAGCAAGATGAAGTCAGTTAGGTGAGATCTTTTTCACTGTCTCAGTTATAGTTTTGCAATGGCAGTTCCATAACTTTAAATAATGACTATTGCAGTTTTCATAAATAACCTAGGTAAATGATTAAAATAAAGTAATTCGGCAAATGTAATGGGATAAATACTTGTAGACAAACTTGTCATAATTTAGAATCTAAAGTTATATTAAATAACAGATATTTCATTATTTGTGTATTTTCCAATGAAAATCTATTGTAGGAAAACATTCTTTCTATTTAAAAGTGTGCCATTTTTAAAAAGGTGAACAATTTCTGTTGAATTCAAAGTTTATCTAGAGATTATGTATAAAGGTAAAAGGAGCCAGGAAATAAGAGTGATGTAAAGAAAGTTATAAAAATAAAGAGGCTTTTTGGTTAAAAAAAATTTTTAAAGAAAAATAATTTTGTATGAGAAAGAATCTTTTATGGTAAATTTTTTTTTTTTTTTTTTTTTTTTTTTTTGAGACGGAGTCTCGCTCTGTCGCCCAGGCTGGAGTGCAGTGGCCGGATCTCAGCTCACTGCAAGCTCTGCCTCCCGGGTTTATGCCATTCTCCTGCGTCAGCCTCCCGAGTAGCTGGGACTACAGGCAACTGCCACCGCGCCCGGCTAGTTTTTTGTATTTTTTAGTAGAGAGGGGGTTTCACCGTGTTAGCTAGATGGTCTCGATCTCCTGACCTTGTGATCCGCCCGCCTCGGCCTCCCAAAGTGCTGGGATTACAGGCTTGAGCCACCGCGCCCGGCCATGATAAATTTAATCCTAGAATAAAATGACTGGTTGCTTAAGAAACAGGGATGTTCAGGACAAGCCAGAAAGTCCAAGCATATCATGAATAGATTGTTTAAATCACAATAAGAGGATTTACTTAAAAAATACTTTTATATGATCATCTATAATTAAAGGGAAATTATAATGGTTTTTCTAGAGATTGAGTTTGATGTAAAAAAAAACCTACTTATACACTAAATAATTGGTTAGAACCATAAAATTTTCTTAAGAGATTGATTTACTTTTAATAAATTATGAGGTTTTTATTTTTTTGACCCAAAGTTCAACTTTTATTGCATCTTGCCATTTCAGTTTTCAGTTTTCTCTCTCCTTTTAAAGGATGCAAAGTACTAATGCTCTCCTTAAACTCATTTTCAGCTCACGTAAGTTTTCTTCCTGATGCTAACAATGTTTTCTTGAAGTTCTAAAGAAAATATTTTCTTCCACCATAATATTCTGTGCAATGCAGGTCTTTTCTTTTGCCTCTTGGTAACTGAACTAACAGATTTTGTGGTTTATAAAAACAATTCCTGTGCCATTATTATTAAGTTTTGGTTTGCTTAGAAAAAACCTGAGATTAAAAAAATTTTTTTGAATTAAGGTTATTACATCTGTACGTCTTTCTGTATAGGCTTTTAAAGTCCTTGTGACATTGAATTACGGGGCCTTGACTCCTGGGTCTAAAAAGGACACCAAGTCCTGGTAAATCTTAAACACTGGCAGCAGTTAAAGCCTCATCTTCAGGCGCAGTAGAAGATGCCAATCAAAATAAACTGCATTCCTGAGACACAGGGCAAGAAATTAAAGCTATTCAACTCCTCAGGGCCCAGGGACTATCATGAAAGAGGTGGGCATGTGAGATTGTAAGGGCCGATTTTGAGAGATAAAATAAGTTGAGTTTCTCTATAATCATTAATCTCGAAGGCAAGCTGAGGCAAGACCAGCATATGGGCCCTTGTGTCAGATTAGCAAGGTTTTCTAGAAGCATTAACTGACTGCTTAATAAAGGTTATATAGATTTTAAAAGGCTTACAGAAGTCACATCTTATGGTCAAGATTAAAATTTTATAGTTTGTTTACAAAATTTTGAAAAACAGATTTAACTGGCTTCATGCTGTTTAATTGGGTTATATTGTTTGGAAAATTAAGTCTCCTCTCCCAAAGAATGAAGGTTTTCACCTTTTTTTTTGAAATCTTTGAGTTATCACTTTGGTCAAATTAATGACTTACTTTACAATAACCTGTGATATCAAATGTTTCAAACTTTTGATATTTGACAAAATCTTCCAAAATAAAATTATAAGTTATGTATTTTTCTGACCTAATTAATCCTTTAATATATTAGTTTCCCTAAAGTCTAAAACTGACATAATTTGGTTTATCTGGTATAAAAATTATACAGGAAGTATTGTCAAATATGAAATGTTGTTTGGTTTCCTTTGGGCTGAATTTGTATAAATATGTTATTGGTATGTGTTCCAAAATTATGGGACACTCCTATAATTCTGACATGACTTAGTGTACATTATCAGTAATAATTATAATTGTTATATAAAATTATTGTATTCCACAGAGGTAACAAATTTCTTTGTCAATTGTGTTTTTGACTATGGCTGCCCTAAAACTTTTTGTCATCCACAGACAATTGTTGTCTTGTTTTGGTCCTCTTCAGAAGGTGGCTTTTGTTTTATTTTGTTTTGTTTTTTGAGATGCAGTTTCACTCTGTCGCCCAGGCTGGAATGCAGTGGTGTGATCTTGGCTCATTGCAACCTCCACCTCCTGGGTTCAAGCAATTCTTTTACCTCAGCCTCCCAGGTAGCTGGGATTACAGGCACAAGCCACATCACCTGGCTAATTTTTGTATTTTTAGTAGAGACGGTGTTTCACCATGTTGGCCAGGCTGGTCTCAAACTCCTGACCTTAGGTGATCCACCCACCTTGTCCTCCCAAAGTGCTGAGATTAAAGGTGTGAGCCATCATGCCTGGCCAGAAGATGGTTTTATAATCAGCTACAAAACCCTAACAGGTGCTCTTAAATGCAGGTTTCTGATAACTGTGGAAATTGTTACATCAGAATAGAGGAAAAACTTTCAGGACTCATGGAGAGTTGAAATGTTCACGAATATCAAGTAGAACAGAAATTAACTGCATGGACTGAACTAATAGAAAACTAAGTAATCCTTCTGACTTTTTGCTTAAAACATTGCCAATCCTTTGTTTTGTTTTTCAGAGTCAAGAAAACTTTTACTTTGTGCTAGTGACAGATTTTACCAATTTAGTATACTCCTATCAACAAAACTTGGAGCATATTTGTTTCTCTCTACCTGATTTCTCCAGAATTTGGAAACTATCTGTGAGTAGTCTAAGCTTATGCTAATACAGTTATTTGCATAAATGCAATAAGAATCTGTTTTCATTTGTAAAAAGACACAATTGGGGAAACTAGTTATTTTACCAAGGCTTTGACTGGAATGGTGTACTTTCCTTTAAAGAATCAGACTTGACTTATGGAGCCAATAAAAGCCCCTTGGGAAAACTGGCCTCATACCTTGTCTACACAGCCCCTGTACAGGGTTCCTGACCTGTGGTAAAGAATTCCTCCACTCTTGGGGCTCCTGGGCCTGTCAGGAAGTGATAGAGGAATTCTCCCAACTCAACAGGTATTTGATGGTACAAATCCATGGCTGGGCTCAGCTTTAAAAGAGTCTTATCTAAGATTTCTTCTTCGGAACAAAGTTCCATCAAAGCCGATTTAAAAGCCTATGTAAAAAAATAATTATTCTTGTTGCACTGCATACAAATAATCAGGCCAAGTATAATAAAGCAAATCAATCCTACAATGATTTGCCTTTAGTAAAAGTGGGAAACTGGAGAGAGAAGAATTATGTTTCAAAAACTATGGTATACCTGTTGTTAGATTCTAGTTTTGCCTAATGTTTTTCAATTTTTATTATTTTCTACAGTTTGGACCAACTTCTAATTTTTATTGGTTACAAGTCTTCAAAATAGTGTTTTAAATTTTGTTTCCTTCTTTTTTCCTGTTTCCTAATTTGAAGTCGCTGAAAACTAAACTGTGCTTTTGTAAAGCCATGGGAACTGAAGCTGGACAACTTAAACTTCAGAAGAAAATAACAGCAACCTATTTACATACAGAGTCACCGCTCTGTCTCTGACCCTCCTGGTGACCCTGGGGTCACATTGGTCTCCACTCTGCCCTCATGTTATCCTCAACTGTGACTAGCTCAGGCAGAGGAGCTGGCGAGCATCTGTCTGTCCCGGGGAGCAGTGGCGTCTCACCTCCTTCCCCCCTGCAGATAGGAAGGACTCACGTGGTCTCATCAGCTGGGAACAGGAGGACAGCCCTGGCCTGTGCACGGGCCGACTTTCTATCTGACACAGAGAGCCTGTGGTGCCATCTTTAGTTCAATGTAACGCCAGGGGTGAGAAATGGACAACTTTTAGCCTCAAAGGCGACCCTGGGGCATGGCGGCAGATCCTTGCTGCACAGAAGGATCTCCGGGGCTCCAGGACTGGGGCAGCCAGCAGTGCGGCCCCACCTCTCCACCATCCGCCTCTGGGAGCCTGGGTTTCCTCAGCAGGGATCATGACACTTCAAGACTGCTCTCATTCAGGGGGAGGCTTTGTCATCGCCGCTTTGTAGATAAAGGAAATGAGGCCCAGAGACATTGATTAACCATCCACGTTCACACAGCCAGAATCTAAGCCCAGGTCTGTCCAAGGCCTATCCAGTTTTCTTCCAGGAAGGCCCTCCCTCTTCCTTTCCTTCTCCCGTCACCCATCTCTCTCCTCCTCCTGTCCTCTTCTTGCCTCCCCTCCCCTCTTTCCTCCCCTCTCCCCCTCTCCTTCCTCAATTTCTCCTTCCTTCCTCTCTCCTCCCCAAGCTCTCAGGTGAACGTGCGTCCCACCTCTTACGGCAAATGGTCGGCAGGTGGCAGCAAACCCCGCCTTCCCGCGCGGGAGCCGGCCTCAGCCTGTGAAACCGTGAGAACCGGGCTGCGGAGCCTGGGCTGGGCGGCCGTGAGTTTGCACATCTGCGGGAGGAATCCCGTGCAGGCGCCTCCGGCAGGGGTGGAGGTTGGGGTGCCCAGGCCTGGTGGAGGGGCGGGGCGGGGCGGGGCGCGGGGGGTCACCTGCAGGCGTGTGGCCGGGGCAGGGAGGGGCTCCCAGCTCAGCATCTGGGCAGAAGAGCCCCTTGGGGGTTGGGAAGGTTCCCTGCAGCGCCTCCTCCTTCTAAGTGGATATGCAAATCCCCTCCTCCCCCTAGAGAGGGAACTTCTGCGGACTCTCCTCAGGCAGCCCCAGGGCAGCAGCCTTTCCTCTGGGCGCCATCCTCACTGCACCCTGGCAGCCCAGCAGACACTTAGTGGGCACCTGTTCTGGACGGGGCCTCCTGCCAGGGGTGGGAGACAGCAGGATGGTGGCCACAGGTCCCTACCCAACATGGCCACGTGGTGAACAGAGCGCGGCCTGCCCACACAAGGGGCCGGGCCCTTCCTGCACCGGGGTCGCCTTGCTTGGGTGCATCTTGAAGGAAGGTCAGAGAGACCCAAAAGGACCGGGCTGAGGGAGCAGCATCCGGGTCCAGGGCACAGCCTGGGCAGAGGCCAGAGGGCAGCAGGCCTGAGTGTGGGATGCAGATCTTGACGCGGAGGCCAGCTCCACGCAGGGAGGCCCCTCCCGCCGGTGGGTGGTCATGGCTGATTTGAGCCTGTTGTTATTGTTGGCAAATTAACAATACACTGTTAATTGGATGTGGCTGAAAGTAAAAATTAATAACAAGGAAACAAGTGGGCCCTGCTGAGCTGCTCGCGCCGGAGCTGTGGTTCTCACGCCGGGGCTGTGGCTCTCGCGCCGGGGCTGGCTCTCACGCGATCCACCTCGGCTTTTGAACCAGAATACAGTTGCAGCCTCTTTGGATTCCTTCCCTGGCACTTCAGTGCTGAGCCCTAGCGGAATCCTCCTGGCCAGACTTTCCTGGGCTCCTCTGATACCTCATTGCCACCGGGCCTCCACCCTGGGCTTTGTGTTCATCTCTGCTGGTTTAGGGAGGACCTCTGACCTCTGATATCTGCTCCCCTCCATGAATGATCAGGTTCCTCATCCCCCACCTGTGAGGTCTGACGCCTCGGCCGCCTGCAGCAAGAATCTCCTGCCCTTAACTTCTCGTCTCAATCTTTTGCCATCCACTGAGGCCCTTGGCTATCAGCCCCCACTCTCCTTGTGGCAGGGGCTATGAACCCCCTCCTCTTTGACTAGAGACCCCCATTTGTCCTTGTAGTCTTCAGCGTTGAGCTCAATCTCTCCCTCTTATGGTCGTCCTGACCACTGCTGCGATAGTCCTGAATAGAGTCTTCCTCACTGTTTTAAGTGTCAGGATCATGTTCTATGTACTCCCACCCCCGGCTTCTCCTGCCCCCTCAGCTGGCCTGGCATTTTCCCTGGGAGGCTTCATCACAGGTCAGTGGATGCCATATGTTTCTGAGCCAGGGTGTGAACTCTGTTTCCATTCTTAGATCATTTGTTCTCCCTGTGACTTAAGTATGACCTTATAGTTTAATTTTCTTCCTCTATGGGGGACCTATTTGTGAGTGTAATAAGGGTTTTCTGCCTCCCTGTATTCCAGGATGCATATTTCCAGGATACCGGGCTGCTTTTAAGTACCAAAATATTCATATTTTTGTTGCTATCACACCAATACTTCAGTATGTTGAAAGTTCTGAGACCTGATTCCATTTACACAAAGTAGAACAGACAAAGGTAACCTGTGCGTGAGAGTCAGAACTGGTGGCACCCGTGGGATAGGAGGGGCCCGAGGGAGCTCCTGAAGTGTTGGTTCCCTAGGGTGGGCACTGGTTACTCAGGAATCTTCCCTTTGTGCATTTCCCCAAGCTGCAGCCTTAGGAGAAGAATGTCTGACCTGTTTTATAATCCTCTCCCTATCCCCATTTTTCTGCCCCCCAAATGCTTTAGACTTGACACTCACCCAGCAGTGCTTTTTTCCAGTGCCCAAGCATAGCTCCCAAACCTCTGTCCCATGCATTTTCCTTTTGAGATGCTCCCCGGCCCCCTATGCCACACCACACTCAGGCTGCAGCGGGCTCTCCAGGCCTGGGCGCCATGTATGTCACCACACTCCCCAAGAACTGATTCCTGGGTGAGAGCCACTAGCTCCCAAATTGTGAGCCTCCTCTCTGAGGACCCTCCCTCACTGACTGAGTTACACCTTCTAGAGAAAGCTTGTCCAGCTGTGGCCCATGGACTGCGTGTGGCCCAGGACAGCTTTGAATGCAGTCCAACACAAATGTGTAAACTTCCCTAAAACACGAGGGTTTTTTGCAATTTTTCTTTTTCTTTCTTTTTTTTTTTTTTTTTTTAGCTCACCAGCTATCATTAGTGTTCTTTTATGTGTGGCCCAAGATAATTCTTCTTTCCCAGTGTGGCCCAGAGAAGCCAAAAGATTGGACACCCCTGCTCTAAGTCTCTCAAGGAAAGGAGCATGGAATGGAACTTGTAAATTCCACTTATTTTGACAATGTCTTGATTCATCCCTCAAACCTGATTGATAGTTTGGCTGGGTATCAAATTCTGGGCTGAAAATCATTTTTCACTTGGCCTATCCAAGGCCTTGCACACTGACTCACAGCCTCCAGTGCTGCCCTCCAGAAGTCTGAAGACCTTGGAGTCTCTCCTCCAAGGGTGACCCTTTCCTTTCTCTGTCCCTGAAGTGCTTGGCTGTTTTCTTTGTTCCTTCTGTTTTGAAATTTCACAATACCAGTGCTGGGGCCTTGGTAGGACCTTCAATCTGGCAACTTACATTCTTTAGTTCTGAGAAATTTTATTGAAATAATCATGTAGAAATTGTTTTCACTTTGGTTTTCTTTTTTCTCTTTCAGGCACTCCTGTTAGCTGTATGTTTGGTCTCTATGGAGTCTCCATTTTTATTATCTTTTCTATTTTCTGTTACTTTGGGGATTTTCTTTTTGTCCTGTGTTCTAAGATAGCCCCACATGTTTTATTTCTGTTAAATTTGTTTTCCTTCTGAAGTCCTCAACTTTAGATAGAATAGATATAAAATAGGTATTAATATATACAAATATATAGAATAGATATTTATATATAATCTATAAATATATATCATAGATATTGATAGATATACATTTTCAACAGCTCATGTGTATTCTCTGCTCATTCCTTTTGCAGAGCACACTGTTCTTGTTCTATGGAGGCAACATATTCTCTCTCTGAGGTTCTCTTTTGCTCCCTGTGTTTATCTATTCTGGTCTCCGTTCCTCATGGTATAGACATTCCTTGACTGTGCAGCAATCCTTGGTTATCTGTATTAGTCAGAGTTCTTTGGAGATTACATATGCCTATATGAAATAAGATTTATTATAAGGAAGTAGCTCATGCAATTATGGAAGCTAAATCCCACAATCTGCATTCTGCAAACTGTGGACCAAGGAAAGCCAGTGTTGTAGTTCAAAGGTCTAAGAGCTGAGAGCCAATGGTGTAGTATCCCATCTGAGTTTAAAGGCCTGTGAACCAGCAGCATCAGGAGCAGGTTCTTCTGCCCAGCTCAAACATTCAGGCAGAGTAACAGCGAACTCAACCTTCCTCTGCCTTGCTGTTTTGTTCTATGCAAACCCTCAACAGATAGGACGGTGCCTGCCCACACTGGGGAGTGCAGTAAGTTCACTCAGTCACTGTGCTAACCTCTTCCACAGTCAACCCAGAAATAATGTTTCACCAGTGAGCTGGGCATCCCATGGCCCAATCAAGTTGACACATAAAATTAACCATCACACCATTCACCCCTGCTTGAGGACAAGGCACCTGAAGGCAGCGAGAAAGGTGGGTGAGGAAGGACATTTGAGTAAAGGTAGGAAGACAGTGAGAGAGTGAGTCAATAGCTCTCTGGTTGTACCTGTGAGGCAAGCACTGCTGTTCCCCATTTTACAAATGCTCAAGGTCACGCAGTCAGTAGAGTAGATCTGGTCATCTCTGTTAGTTCTAAGGTGCAGCCCTGGGGTGCCTCCTTTCACACCCTTGTCTGGCCAGTGCTCTGCAGTGCACTTCATGTGCTGTGGTCACCCCACAGGGTTCTGAGAGCTCTGCAGAGCGTGTCACATGCTGCGGTCACCCCACAGGGTCCCAAGAGCTCTGCAGTGCGCTTCATGCGCTGTGGTCACCCTGAAGGGTGCTGAGAGCTCTGGGGTCACATCAGCTCTTACTTAGGAGTAAAGGTTTTTTTGTTCATTTGTTTTGTTTTGTTCCCCTAGAATTCAGAGGACATTCCAGGGTCTGCATAGGGCAGAGAAGCTGGCTCAGGGCTGCAGCTGGCTTGAGTCTCTTTGTGTCCCACCCTGTCTAGTGGGATCTGTTGCATCTCGGTGGCAGAGCTGTCCTTTCCATCCTCCGGCAGCCGGTTCCCGCAGTAGAGGCGCCAGCATGCTTCCACTCACTGTGGCTGCACACTGCAAAGCAGAGGCCACTCCAACAGCAAGACCACCAGAACGGAGCCCACATGTAGAGGTCTCTGCCTTCACATCATGGCCATTCTGGGCAGTGCCTTTTCTCACCATACTCTGGGTTCACAGTTTCTGGGAAGCACCTCAGGGCCTCACCATGACCGGTCCCCTTGAGTCTGCCCTTCCTCCTTCCCTGGCATGTCTTCAAACAGGAAGATGCTGACCTGGCCTCTAGTGAAATATTTAAACCAAATGCATCTGCTGCCAGGTAGCAGGATCTGGGGTGGAGGTGGTTGGCTCCGCCCCTGCCTGGCTGGCTCAGAACACAGAGAAGCCCAGGGCTGGGGAAGGGCGGGGAGTGCGCGCAGGGACAGGGACTCCAGCCATACAGGGGAGTGGCCTCCCCTCTTCACACAGAGGGCGGGGCATGGTCTGGTGGGGAGGGACCTTCTGAGGGAGGGATGCTGACTGTCCCAGAGTGACCCTCCTCTGGGGTGGCTCTTGGATTCTGCTGCCCCTATCTGCCTAGACTATGGGGGATGTTCCAGCACATTCCCCAGAGAGGGCACAGGCCCTCCCTACTCCCCTCAATAGGGCTCCCAACCCCTGGGGAAGCAGCAGGGCAGTGGAGAAACAGGAACTCAGATGGTCTCCCCATCTGCTGCCTAGCAAAGCCCTACCTGCCCTTTGATTTAGCGTTTGTTTTTCTGTTGCCTCTTCCAGGAAGCCCTCTCTGATAGTCCTTGGTTGGGCTATGGCCTCTTTGGCAGTTGCCACAGCCTTTAGGGTCACTGTGCAAATTAGGAAGAGGTGTCCCCTCCTCCAATCATCTCATGCCTCCGCTGCGTCCTCGCCTCCAATCATCTCTTGCCTCCGCTGGGAACCTGGTGAGAAGCATGCATCTGATTTTGACTATGTGCACAGCATCCTTCAGGGTGCCCCTCTTCCCCCAAGCTCTGGTCTTCCCACCACCCCGGTCCCACCACCACCAAAAAGCCAGCTACTCCAGGCCTCAGGCTGTGTCTGACCCATCTCTGTGTCCACAGGACAGGGCGGGCACGCAGTAGGTATAGTGGGGTATTCTGGGAACACCCAAGATCACCAGGGGGAGATCTGGCTCTGGCTCTGGCTCAGCAGGGGAGGGTGTTGGGCTGGGGCTGGGGCTGGGGCTGGACAGGGTGGCATGGCACTCCCCAGAGACTGCAGACACGTGTGCTCGGCAGGCCCTCCCTGCAGCTCTCCTCTCACCCATCCACTCATCCACCCTCTGTCTCTCTGCCCACCCCTGCGCAGAGGGGCCACAGGGCAGGCCCGCTGAGCTCAGGTTTTCAAAACACAGCAATAGGAGGGCAGGTGACGGGGTTGGTGACAGCAGTGCAGGGTGCTTGGAGATGTCCGCTGGTAGGGCCCCCCCAACCCTGCAGTGCCTGTTTCCGAGTCAGCAGCCTCCTTCTCCATTAGAGCGGAGGAAACGAGGCAGGAAGCCGGCTCTTCCCCCTCGAGCAGCCGGCAGGGCCACCAGGACGGGCTGCCTTGTACCCTGCCTTAAGGCCATCCGACCTGGGCTCGCAGCCCGCGCTCCGCGTCTCCGGACAGAAGGCCGGGCTAGGAGCTGCGCCCACCTCGGAGGCCTAGGCGACTTGGAACCGGCGCCGTCTGTGCCTTCGCTTCCTCATCAATAAAAGGGACCTCACCAGGACATGACCTCGAGTCCACTGAGATCCCCCAGGGCATGGAAGTACTGGGTTCCCCTGTCTCCCGCACGCTGCCGGGCGCAGGGTTGGCGCACAGTAGGTGCTTCCTTTGTGAGTGCTCTAGCCGTGCCGCGAGGGCCTGGATGGCAGTGGGGGCGCGTACTTGCCCCGCGACGCCCTGTCCCTCCCCCGCCTCCAGCCCCTCCCCCGCCTCTTCCCCGCGGCCCCACCGTGCACCTCCCCCGCCCCCGCCGCCGTCCTTCCCCTCTCCCTCACCCCTCCACCGCCCCGCCACGCCCCCACCAGCCCCGCGAACCCCGCACCCTCTGGACACCGGCTCCTGGGAGGGCCGATTAAAGTGCAAGTCGAGTCTCCCGCTCTGCGTTCGGCTTCCTGTCCCCGTGCGCATCTGAGGCTCCGCGGGGCTGGGCTCTCGGTCTCCATGGCAACCCAGGCGTCCCGCCCACAGAAACTGCCACTCAGGAGGGCGGACGCTCCACCGCGGTAGGCTCTAGACGCCGCGGTCGTGCAGGTGCGGCGCCTTCTCTTCAGCAGGGTGACCGCTAGGGAGGTGGGGCGGCGTAGACCCAGATCCGGGCCCCCACCACCTGCCGAAGGGCTGGACTCCTCGAGGCTCCTCCCTGTTGCTCACCCGCGTGATGCCCCGCGGAGCCCACCCCAGCGCACCCCAGGGCAGGTGCGGGCCATTGGAGCCCGGGTGGGGATTTTACGTCAAGGCACACAGCTGCTTCCTCCCGGTGGAGCCCGCGGTCGCCCTCCCGTCTACTGCACAGGGTCCTAACTCCCACCCCGGGACAGTGACTTTCCTGCGGTTGAGGCCGGTCCGTCGCCCACCCTAGACCTCCTTCCAGGGACCCCCAGGGTGTCCCAGCCTCAACTCGTGTCCTCTGCGGCGCGGTCCTGGACCAGTGTCCTGGACCAGGCAGGCTCCGCTCCTCGATGACCAAGTGCGTCTTTTCTCTGGCTCTTGTCCCCTCCCTCTCTTTCTGTCTCTCTCTCAGCACCTCTGTCTTTATCTCTACATCTCCCTGCATCAGTATGTGTGTCTGTCAGTGCCTGGAGCTCACTGTGTCTCCCGGTCTCTGCGTGTCTCTGTCTCCTCCTGTCTCTGAATAGATGGCACCCAGAAGAGTGTTCGTGTCACCAGAGGGCAAGGGGGACCCTCCCCACAGCACCCGTCCCTCCCCAACCCCACCCTTGCTGGGGCTCCTCTGCCCCCGCAGCGTCCCGATGTCCCCACCATCCCTGCCTCGCCCTCTTAGTCCTGCTGCCACTCCCTCTGCCTCTCCAGAAAGCTCACCAGGTTAGGAGTCCCATGCGACTCCCTCTGGGTTGAGAAGTGAAACTTCCCTCTGTTGGAAAGTCTTGAGCGTCAGTTTAAAAAGTTAATGTCATCAAAATAGGCCAATAAACTGCTGATGAAATCTTCAATATTTTCTCTCCATCAACTGCTTTAATGTTTTGTGACCTTTCCAAATTTGGTGGTTGTACCCTGATGTGTCGGAAATCCATGCCAGTGTCCAGGCCCACTTTGTTTGCTGGGTCCCCAGTGTGTGCGCATCACAGCTGGCGTTCTATGTGATTGACGGGATGGCCCCATGGAGCTGGGGTGCTCCTGCAGAGCCCTGTCCTGGGTCACTTGCCTTGGGCCGCATCGCCTCCTTTTCCCACTGGGGAGGAGTGGAGGGCCTGATGCCTGCAAGCCTCCCAGCACCATATGACCACACGGTATCTCCTGAAGCTGCCCAGCGTGGTGTCAGGGCAGCCCCAGGCGTTTCTGAGGCTGGGATCTGGGGCCTCTGTCTTTTGCTCCTGGGGTCTGCTTTTCAGTTGCCTGCCCAGCCTATGGAGGGGAGGGCAGCCTGGGCTCACAGGGCAGCAAGACGGCCCCTGGCTTACCACAGGGGAGGCCCACAAGGCTATCCAGGACAGCGGCAGCGACAGCCGGCCCCAGCTTCAGCCTGCCAGGCCGAAGGACCCTGGTGACACATCAGGAAGCCCTCCCCGGGGCTGGCAGAACAATTTTGGGGACAGGGGCCTTCCGGGGCAGGCAGACCTGCCATGCTTTTGGGATGGGGCCTGGAGTTGTGGTGAGGACCAGGTGAGGAGAGTCCGTGGACAGCAGAGCCCCTGGACGTGAGCTTTCCAGGTGAGTTGGGGACCAAAGGTGGGGTGGGGACCACGGCCTCAGCTGTGCAGCTCCCAGTTGGCTCTCACCTGGGCTGGGTGGGGACAAAGGGGGACTGCTGTGGGTGGAATTGTGTGCCCCCGAAATACATGTTCAAGTCCTAACCAGCTGCAGCTGTGAATGTGACCGTATTTGGAAATAGGGTCTTTGCAGATGTCAGTAAGTTACGACGAAGTCATCCTGGATCTAGGGTGGCTTCATCCAATGGCCGATGTCCGTGTTAGAAGACACAGGCGCCTGGGGAGAATGTGACAACTAAGGCAGGGATTGGAGCGATGCAACCACAAGCCCAGGAACACTTGGGGCCCCTGGAAGCTGGACAAGGCCAAGAGGGAGCTTCCCCAAGGCCTCCTGAGGGAGCACGGCTCACTGGCACCTTGGTCTGGCATTTCTGGCCTCCGGGATGGTGAGAGAGAGGATAAACCTCTGTCTGAGGTCACTGGCTTTATTGTGCCTTGTCAGCGACTGTAGGAAATTAAAGGCATGATGTCGAGTGGACCCACGAGGACCCGGCCACCACAGGGAGGCCATCTGAGAAGCCGCAGGTCTCTCCCACTTAGTGGCTGCCTCTCCTCCCTCCCCACTGCCCTTGACACTGCTCTCTTCACCGCCCAAGGACACATTAGCCCTCAGGTCCCTGTCTCCGGTCAGCTCTGGGGAGACAAACCCAGACATGTCGTTTGCTTGCACTGTGGGGCAGTCAGAGACGGATGCCCGTGTTTGGTCTGCTGCAGTGGGTCATCTGGGGAGCAGGGGTGCGTGGTCGTGGGGTCTGCATTCCTTGTTTCCAGAGAACCTCTGTGATGTGGCATTCCCAGGTCGCAGGGGCCCAGGCCAGGTCCTATAGCAGGGGTGAAGTGCGTCGGACCCTTGGGCCCTGCCTCTAGGGGGCTGCTGTCCATCTACTTGCCACCGGTGTGAGCACCTGCTTATGGTGAGAACGTGAACTCTTCAGGGTCCTTGGGGAGCGAATCTGGGGACCCCAAGAAGGAGGAGATAGGCTGGGGCATTCCAGGTTCACATCTGGGCCTGGAGACTCTGGCCTGGCATGCACAGGTCTCAGCTGCCCGGGCCTGGGAAGAGCTGGCGTGACGACACCCACTGGCACGGCCTCGGTGCGCGAGCCTGGCACACAGTGGATGCTTGGAGAGTGTCTGCAAGTGCTCCACTGACCCTTTCAGGAGGCACATCTGGCGGTTAGGCTGCTGTCCTTGGTGCTGAGAGTGCTGAGTCCCTGAGGGTGGCAGCTATCTCTAGGACTGAGAGGGACGCATATTCCTCGGTGATATCCAGAAGCAGTGCTGGCGGGCACAGCTGGGCCTCCAAACCTCAGGTTACA